ATGGGCTTTTAGATATAAAAATCCAAGTCTCCCTCCCTCTATCCCTCCCTTCCTTCCTCCTCTTCCTCTTCCTCCCTTTTTCCACCTCCTCTTCCTTCTTCCTCTCTCTCTCTGCCTTGTGCTTGTAGATCAGATGTAAACTCTCAGCTTCTACTAGAGCGCTGCACCTTCCTGCCTGCCAGAACGCTTCTTTCCCCGATGGCCATGGGCTCTAGCCCTCTGGAACCACAGCCCCAATTAAACGCTTTCTTTAATAAGTTGCCTTGGTCATGGTGTCTTGTCAGGGCAGTAGAATAGCAACTAAGAGCAACTGCTCTTCCAAAGGACTGGAATTTAGCCCCTAACACCCACAACAGGCAGCTCGCAATCATCTGCAACCCTGTCTCCAAGGACTCAAGTGCCCTCTTCTAGTCAGGCAGGTACCTGCACACACACACACACACACACACACACACACACACACACACTACATACATATACACATATAAATAAAAATCCTCTTAAAAAAAAAAAACTTAAGATCTCTATAAGACCTGGCAACTTCAGCAGAAAAGAACATCACTGGGCTGGAAGTATGGCTTGGTAGTGCTTACCTCTCATGCACAAGACTCTAGGCTCCCCACCAAGCAAAAAAGAAAGCAAACCAACTTTAAAAAGAACTCTGCACGTAAGCACCATGGCTGTAACAGACCCTGTGTGCACAGCCATGGGTGGGTGCAGTCCTAGCCCACTAGCCAACAGAGACACTAGGGACCATGAGAAGCCCCCAAGGAATCAGACCAGGGTACCCTTCTAAGTTCATCCTGCTATCACCAGCTTTGCACCTATGAGCAAGGCAGCCAGCTTCCTGAGCCCCAATCTAACCACTACATGCGGCCACACTTGTCTCTCCAGGATGGAAACAGGCTGCTCAGGTGCCCTGAGCCATGGAGAAGGCCTTGAAAACTGGAGGAGCTGTGTAAGTGACAGTGACATTTGTCACTGTTTATGCCTGGGAGGATAGCTTCTGGTATAAGCTGATGGAGGGAAAGCTCACTCTCACCACTGAGTTGTGGCTTCACATCAGCCACACTGAAGCAAGGCACAGCATCTCTTTCCTGCACCCACATCCAAAACTAGACAACGTGTGAGCATTTCACTGTTACCATTGCCGTGGCCCCTCTCCCTCGAGGCAATCCCAAGATTCCAGCAGCTGCCCAAAATGACAGCTATAATAAAATCCTATACATATGTGGAGAAAACGCTCCTCATACAGAGGAAGCAGCTCGTGGCTTCCCTTAGCCCTGCCTGGTTGGCCAGCTTTGAAATTCTTGTACTCTGGAGATATTGTTCAGTAAGTAACAGTGACTTTGAATCCCACACTATGACACCATGATGGTCCATCTGGGGGCAGAAGCCGCGGCTGACTCACAGGCAAACAGCACATCCAGCAGCTCCTCACTGGGCACGAGTGGACAGACACCCCCAGGTTTCATTCCACTGCTCGAAACAACACACACTTTAAAGTGGATGAATTGTTTATTTCTGTAATTTTCCACTCAATGTTTTTGGACCTCGGTTGACATCGGGTAACTGAAACCCAGGAAAGTAAAACCTCAAATTGGGAGGGGGGAGACTGCTATGTTGTTATTGCAGAAACCACGTGCCCTTAAGTATTCTAACTCCCCAGTTCCCCAACTCTCACCCCAACCTGACCTCCAGGTCACTCTATAGGACTTCCCAACCCCCTGCTGGGTGGCTGTTGATGGCAGGGGAAGCTGTGTCTCTAGTGACCCAGGTGTCTAGGGTACAAGCCCTAGTGTGCAGACTGCGTAGCCTCAGATGCCTTCATAGCCACCCCCACTCAGGTCTCTGGGTGCCAGTTCTCACGTACAGAGGCAGGACACCCCACTCAGGTCTCTGGGTGCCAGTTTTCACATACAGAGGCCCCAACACGAAGTGCCTTAGTGGGCAACACACACGGCCATCATCATCGGGAAATTCCTCAAACTCTTCTGTTTCGGGAACAGAGAACAGCTGCTTCAGCTCTTTGCATGCATCAGGAGCGACCAGGGCAAGCATCCTAACTCCATCCTGCCCCCTAGAGCCCCATCGGAGGGGGCAACCCCCGAACTCTTTCGCCCAATCCCTTGGGCAACATCTGTTGAGTAAGATGAAAACCTGAGTTGAAGATTAAACCACTCGGCCCTCACTGGCCCGGGCACAGGCTGGAAAATATGTTTGGCCAGCAGGGCCTGAAGCTGGGCAGAAAATCTGGGTCTGAATCAGAGGAAAAGTGGTTAGAATTCATCCAAGGTCAGTTTGGAAAAAAAAAAAAAAAAAACCTTGCGGAAGCAGAGACAAACCAAGGCCAGAACATGCCATAGTCAGACAGATGAACGGGACACACCAAGTTGGGAAAGAGAATAAGGCAGGCCAGACAGTGCCCTACAGTGGCTGAAAGGCTGGCACTGGAGGGAAAAGGAAGGAAAACCCTGAACCCACCCTTTCCTCCCTCTTAGGAGCCTGCCCAAAGCACTTGCCTCACCCAAGGTGAGGAAGCAGGTGCTGAGCGTGCTGGGGGAGCCAAACTTTCTCCTTGTGTCTCCTGGGCTGCTTTCCCACTGGCAGGGCAGCACAGGGCCTCCCACTGAGTGCAGTGGCTTGCCCCAGGCCCATGTCCCGAACTCACCACAGGCATCGGGGGATGCAGGGCCACAGTAGGACCCACCTACCTCACCGCCAGCTATCACAGTCCTGATCTGTGCCCGGCACATGTGTGTGAATGTCTACCGAATGCCAGGAAGATAAAAGTCCCTGTCCTGAAACTCACATGCTGGTGTGGGCGGAACCCCCTCAGTCAAGATAAAGACAAATAAGTAAGGTGCAGAGGGTGGAAGAGGCCACAAGCACCACGGAGCAAGGGAAGAAGAAAGGGAGGTGAGATTCCTGGGGGAAGGGAAATGCTGACCGGTGAGGAGGCGTGTCTGTCGGAAGAGCATTCGAGGCAGAGGGAAGAGAAGGAGCCATGTCCCTGGGGGTAGCAGGTGTCTGATATGTTTAAGGATCAGCAAGATAAACGCTGGATGCGAAAACAAAGTGAGGGCAAAAGAGATGAACTGGGAGAGGAAGGCATCTGTAGAAGAGGCTAAGGGTTTGCTCCAGAGGTGACAGACTTAGTATTCTTTGGATATTTATCATTAGGTGGATTAGTCTGATGTTTTATTCTTTTGACAACTTCGTGAAGTAGGTACGTTTAGTAGCTCCCACTCTGGGAAAGGGTAACTAAAGAAAGAGGGGGTCATTCAATTGAAGCCAAGAAGGTAGGGAACAAGAAATAGGAGAGGAATAAAGATCTGGGAATGGGGTGCTGGGACCCAGGGGAAGGAGTGGAACTCCTTGATTTTTTTCTTACTGCTGGGGGAGGTGGGTTCTGAGGACCATCACCACCTTCAGGCCCAGCCTCGCCAGGAGGCGGCTCACCCAAAGTCCTGCAAGGCTGCTACCACTATGCAGGTGAGCACAGCACGGAGTCAGGAAGAAGGCCGACCTGGCACATGTGCCCTTCAAAGGCAGGCAGCCCTCCCAGCTGCTAACTGCAGGCCTCCAGTAGGAGCACCATCCTAGGCCCTTCTGTCCTGACCGTAGACCTTGCCTCTGTAAACAAAACCCATGAGCCAGATGCCGGCCCCTGCCTCGTGGTCCCTAAACCCTGGACCCTCAGCCTTCCTGGGCAGCCAAGGACATTCTGTTCTTAGCCCTAAGGTAGCAGCTCAGTAGGAATGACAATAGTCATCATATTCTCTCCCAACTATCCTCCTCTGGCACATGGGATGCCTTTGTGACTCTGGAAGGGTTTCCAGCCAGACCTGGCTCATTCGCAGCCCCACCCCTACCCTGCTATTGCGACAGGGATCTGTGAAAGTAACACCCCACATGTGGAGGCTCCAGTGGGGTAGCTGACATCTAGGAGAGTCTCACCTAGGGAGTCAGGTCTCTGTAGCTGGTCTGCCCATGGCCTGAGTATACAGCAGAGTGACAGGGGGCCAAGAATCTAAGAGCCCACATGCATCAGAAATCCAAGATACAGAGAGAAAGAAGCGACCAGGTTACAGTTATGGGCAAGTTAGGGCTAAAGCAAAAGAAAACTAGATGCCATGGCTGTGTGTTCCACATCTAGGCAGAGCAAGTGACCATGCTTCTGTGAAGGATACCAACAACCAGACTCAGACTCCCCCCACAACCCCCGCAACGCTGGTACCACCACGGATGTTCCATATCAGCCCAGTCGGTATGGCCCACCTCGAGTCCCTCTGCACAATCCTTCTCTCTGTCTCTCTCCTCGTGTCTCTCTCTTACACACACACACACACACACACACACACACACACACACAGAGCCCTTCTGCAGTCTCCAGATCCAACCTGCCCCCAGAATGCAGTGGAATGGGACCTGGAGAGGCTAAGGAAGCAGGAAGCCCGGCCAACACGTCAGCCCAGCTGGAATCAGTCTGCAGCGGGCCAGCTCCACAGCCCACAACTCACAGAGGTCCTGCCCCTGTCCGAACTGTTCTGGAAACATGACAGGGATGAGGGGGATGAGGGCCATAAAAGCCGAAAAACAGAGTCACGGGGACATAGCAAAGCTGAGGAGAGGAGCAGAGGCCACCACCTTGTAGGTGGACTCCGGGAAACACCGTCTATGCCCCTGCCTCCAGCTGAAGGGTACAAGACCTTCAGTCAGGAGGGTGGAAGGAGATACCACAGAACACCCTAGCACTCAAGGCCGTAGAACAACAGTAACCTAGCCAGGCCTGGGGACATACAAGATGGCCTTTTATGGGTTTTCCCAAGGACCTCAAATCTCCAGACACACAGAGCAGGCCTGCAGCACGTCAGGAGGGACCTCATGACTCATTTCCTCCCACCAGCCTCAGCCCCAAGCCCTCAACCCACTCCACCCCACAAACCCAGCTCCCAACATGCAAGAGACTGGAAGGAGAAAGAAAGGCTGTCACTCACCACCAGTTCATGGCTGGCTGGAGGAACACAAGGGGCAGCCACCTGGGAGAGAGGTAAAAAATATCGCTGTTAGCATCGGTCCCAGCAGCCCCTGGACCTCCTGAGCCCACTCTTACCCCAACCCCAAGAGGGTAGCCTTCCCTGAGGCACAGAGAGAGCTCTTCAGAAGGCCACCCACAAAGACTTAGACCAGACAACAAACATGAAATGCCCCTCACAGGTCAAATCCTGTAAAACATAACACGCCTACCTGGAGGTCAGCAGGGCAGTAAGTATACCCTGAACCCTACGATAACCATAAAGCTTCCCCCGCCCCCTCCTCGATTCCTCTACAGTATAGAAAGATGGATTTATAATACTTGAAAAACATGATTTAGACCTGTAGGAAAGTAAAATCCCATCCCTCCATCTTTCCCCATAGCCAGTGGCTCACCCCAAGTCAGAGCTGAGGGGGCTCCCCCAGGCTGGGAATGGCCAGATCTTCCAGGGATTGCACAGATCACTTTGGGGGGAGGCAGCACCCACTAGGAAGGGGACTGTCATTATCAGATCATCCTCATCCTTCTCTGAGCCAAGGTCATGGCAACTTGGCCTCTAGGAGGGAGAGAGGAAGGAGGGCGCAATGGCCACGCCACCCTGACAATTAGCAGGGCACGTGTCAGAGGCCAGTACATTCCTTTTTCCAGCCAACACATTTTTCTTGGATCTCAGTCCTCAACTTTGGCTCTGACTCCTCACCCAAGCACCAGGCCAGAGGCCCACAGAGAAGCAGACGGTGGCTGAAGAGGCAACTGCCTCTCCAAACGGTAGGCAACCCCATCTCATGTGCAATACCAACGCTTGCAGAGCTGGTACCACTTAGCAGGCGTGCTGCTAAATAAAGTGTTTTGCCCTTTTAACAACCGACTCTACTGTTACCTCCCCAGGAAGAGTGGAGGCAAGACAGGGTAAGCAGTTTACCCAAAGTCACACAGCACAGGTGAGGCTGGGAGTTGAACCCGGGCAATCTGGGTCCCAAGATTTGGTGTGAAGAGCTCTGATTATTCATGGCCCTCCCTGTAGGAGAATGGGGGTGCAGAAAGAGCCCAAAGCCCAGTTCTGGATTCACATGGGCATAGGACTCAGGACCTCTCTATGGTCATCCTGATCAATAGCCACGGCTCAACCACAGGCTACACTCTCCGTCCTTTACAACCCCAAGCCAACCCAACCACAGCGATTGTGAAGATTCAAAGCACAGACCAGACTCTCAGAGGGCCCCCTCCCAACTCATGAGAGCATCCACAGGGACTGGGTATGATCGCTGAGCCACATCCTGGTCAGGATGGTCCCGGCTAGGCTCCCATCCTGAGCAGCGCAAACAGACAGTTGTGACCTCTAGAGAGGGCTATAACGCAGGAGGTCAGAGCCCAAACAGGTCTCCATTGCATAAGGGTGGGCTGTGACTTTGAGACACACAGAGGGTCTCTCTCCCAGCCCCATCCTAACCATGGGCCCTTTCCTCACCCTTCACCCCCAACTCCCCAGGTAGATGTACCCACACAGAACTATCACCTAAGGGAATAAAGCTATACTCCCTCAAAGTGGTATCCTAGGGGCCTTTCCACCCCAGACCCATACCGGGCCAGGGCTGCTGGCCATGGACTTGTGTGTCTCAGAGTTTCTAGTCTCATTCTTGCTCTTTTTTTTTTTTTTCTGAGGCACAGAAATGTTTCCTTAAAAGGCCGTCTGTCTCTCCTCTCCAGCACCCTGGCCCCCAGCCACCCTCTCAGGAGCCCAGAATGTGCCAGGAGTACCAGGGGCCCTGCCACTCTGTGGTCTATGCTCAGCAGCCCCACACTCCTGGCATCAGCAGTGGCTGGCCCCACTGACTACAGGTGACTTAGGTAGCCCTGGGCCTTCTTCAAGGGCTCTGATGACAGCCCTACTGTGACCAGGCAGCCACAGGTGAGTTGCTCCTCCTGGCAGCCCACTGGACTTGGGGCAGAATCAGCCTATTGCGCCATGCCCCCAAATGAAGGGCAGAGGACAACACCCTCACAGCAGCAGCAACCAGCCCCCCACCACCACACTGGCTTCCCAGCAGCCATGACTCTGTGCACTGTAAGAACTCATCCAGGGCCCACGGGTGGGCCCACTGACTATCCCTGCTTAGCAGACAGGAACAGAGCCACAGAGGCAGAGGCACGATCCTGCCCTACTCTCATGCCCATCCTGCTCTGCACAGAACAAGGACCGCCCAGACCCCTGCCAGCATCCCCTTTCAGTGCCTCACTACCCTGCAAGGAGGAGGACCTGGGAAGCATCCCTTTCTCAAAACCCCAATAAAAGCCTAAGTTCTCAGCCTTGCTTACATAAAACTCCAGATTCCTAAACTGGCCAGGTCCTGCAGAGGAGACCCCATACTTGTGGACCATGACCCAAGAAACTGTACAGGAAGCCTCACATTTCCAACTATAACCTCATCACCTTATTCTGGGTAGAAACACTATCTTGGGTTTCCTTTTTAACACTTGCTGGGTCTACGGTTTTTCTTGTTATATTTGATGGTGGTAGCTATGGTTTTTTGTTGTTGTTGTCTGTTTGTTTTTTTTTTTTTTTTTGAGAGAGGGTCTTACTATATAGCCAACACAAACCCAGAACTCTTTCTTTCCAGCCTCAGACTCCCCAGTGTTGGAATAATAGGCTTGCATCACTGTATACTTGGCTTAAATGCCCCCTCCCACCGTCTTTTTCTAGGAGAAATAATCTTAGAAGAGTGTGTGCGTGTGCATGTAGGCATGTGTGCTGGGCACATCTGTGCCATGCTATGCGGATGAAGGTCAGAGGACAACTTGCAGGAGTCAGTTCTCTCCTTCCACCACGTGAGTCCTGGAGATGGGACGCTGATGTCTGGCAGCAAATCTCCACCCTCGGAGCTCTCTCGTTGCCCCTCTCCCTTTTCACTGTGGCAAAACATGCACAACATAAAAAGCCCCATCTTAGGAGCTGGAGACATGGCCCTGTGATAGATCTTTTGACTGGAATGCACAACATGCTAGATTCAGTAACCAATAGCCAGAGTGCATCCACAGTGACATTCTAGCAACTACGTACTTCCAGAACTTTTCATCATCCAATACACCACACCCACTGAACAATGAGCTCCCTCTTTCCCTTCCCACCCCATAAAATCTCACCTTCTGCACTGTGAATGTGCTAACCACAGAGACCTCTGGGATCTGACAATAGATCCTCAAGGGGCTTGGACCACCATTCCCATTTCTAAACTCCCCTTCCCAATCAAGATTCTTGGATCTGCCTTGGAAGGGGGGGGGGTGGTTTAGGAACAGGCCCATTTATGAAACCTTCCTTGTGAACCTAGGCACGTCACATAAACGCTCATCTCTCAGGACCCTCCATCCTGGAGCTGGCCACAGAACTCAGTGGAATTGCAGAGGGAGGAATGATACCCAGGGAGGCCAAAAAGAATATGCACAAAAGGCCCTCCTGGGTTTGTACCAGACTGTGAGAATCAGAATCATGCAAAGAGGTCTCACACGAACCCCAAAGGATGGGCTGTGGGGTACTTACACATAGGCTCCTGGAGCGAGATGTGCCCCTCACTCCCACACTGCTCACCCTCGTCATTTGTATCTTTCATCAAACCCTTCCTGATACACCACAAACCATGCATCCCAAGTCTCCAGGAGCAAATCGATGGTACCCAAAGCGGGGTCACAGGAATCTCAGTTGACACCCAATTGGTCAGAAGCACAAAGACACCCTGAAGTTTGAAACTGGCACCTACGAGGCAGAAGGCAGTCCTGGGGACCAAATACCCAACCTATGAGGTATGTCATGTCACTGTGTCTGGTTCAATATAGAGCTAAACTGGGTTGGAGGTCACCTGTAGGTGTCACCACTGCAGAACTGTCTGCTGCTGATGAGACCCACATACACATCCTGCAAAGTCACAGAAAGTCTGCGCTGTTGGGTGGGACAGAAACCAAGACATGTGCAGTTTGCTAACAGACACATTCCTGAAAGACCAATCACATGCTTGTCGTTTTGTGTCTGGCTGATTTCCCCTTCATGTTACAGCTGATTTATATCCCCCAAACTGGCATGTGAAAATTCAAACCAGTCCCTTAGAAAGTGCCCATGGATGGGGCCTTTAAAGACATGACTAGGTGAGTCCACCAAGGTGAGCCTGATTCAGTATGACCTATTGTTCTTACAGGAAGAGACTGGACACAGACCAAAGAGAAAGAGCCCAGAGGATATAGGTGAAGGCAGTGTCCATGTACTGAAGAGACAGTGTTGCAGGCTAATACTGACTGAAGAACCCAGCCCGGAAGCCATCAGAGCCAATTGCATGACCCTGAATCTACATTTCTAAGATCCACCAATGTTCAAGGTCCACTGCCTGCACTACTGCCCTGAGTGGATCCACGTGTGATTGGCATGTGGCTCATTTCCTGAGGAGTATTCATGGTGACCCCCATCCCTGTCCAACATGTCTGGGTACCCACATTAATGACATATGGAACAGAGGGACAATGGGGTTTATAAAGCACCTACTGCATATCACCAAGCTGGGCACTTTCCAGCCATACACATCTTCACTTTCAGACTAGTTTTTGAAGTTAAAAAAAAAAGGCTCGTGTAAGTCAAGCTAGATTCCCCGAAGTCAAACATCTGGGAACATTAGCTGGGCAGCTGATGACCAGGAGGTTTTCTCAGCTTTCTTCATATCAAGCTTCAGTCTCACACTTGTTCCCTCTACCTCAAACCCCACCCCCAGCAAGGTGCGCATCGATACCCTAGCTCCCAGGGTCTCAGGTCGCCTCCCAACAAACCTGAAGGCTCTCAGAGAAACTGTAGCCTACTTCAGCCTGCCTCAGACACCCGCCTTGCCCACCTGTTCTCTGCCACATGGCTGGATAGGGCACACACTGAGGCAAGGTGCTGGGCTGCAGGTCACTGGGAGAGTGTGGGCGTCCCTAGGAGGGACTGTGAGTCCGGCACAGACGAGGTTATCCCTGTCCCTCTGCTGCATG